GTTTTACTAAACCTAACCAAACCATGATGTTTTACTAAACTTACCCAAACCATGATGTTTTGCTAAACCTAACCAAACCATGATGTTTTGCTAAACTTACCCAAACCATGATGTTTTGCTAAACCTACCCAAACCATGATGTTTTGCTAAAACCTACCCAAACCATGATGTTTTACTAAACTTACCCAAACCATGATGTTTTGCTAAACCTACCCAAACCATGATGTTTTACTAAACTTACCCAAACCATGATGTTTTGCTAAACTTACCCAAACCATGATGTTTTACTAAACCTAACCAAACCATGATGTTTTGCTAAACCTAACCAAACCATGATGTTTTACTAAACCTAACCAAACCATGATGTTTTGCTAAACCTAACCAAACCATGATGTTTTGCTAAACTTACCCAAACCATGATGTTTTGCTAAACCTAACCAAACCATGATGTTTTGCTAAACTTACCCAAACCATGATGTTTTGCTAAACCTACCCAAACCATGATGTTTTACTAAACTTACCCAAACCATGATGTTTTGCTAAACCTACCCAAACCATGATGTTTTACTAAACCTAACCAAACCATGATGTTTTACTAAACCTAACCAAACCATGATGTTTTACTAAACCTAACCAAACCATGATGTTTTGCTAAACCTAACCAAACCATGATGTTTTACTAAACCTAACCAAACCATGATGTTTTACTAAACCTAACCAAACCATGATGTTTTGCTAAACCTAACCAAACCATGATGTTATACTAAACCTAACCAAACCATGATGTTTTGCTAAACCTAACCAAACCATGATGTTTTGCTAAACTTACCCAAACCATGATGTTTTACTAAACCTAACCAAACCATGATGTTTTGCTAAACCTAACCAAACCATGATGTTTTACTAAACTTACCCAAACCATGATGTTTTGCTAAACCTACCCAAACCATGATGTTTTACTAAACTTACCCAAACCATGATGTTTTGCTAAACCTAACCAAACCATGATGTTTTGCTAAACCTACCCAAACCATGATGTTTTACTAAACCTAACCAAACCATGATGTTTTACTAAACCTAACCAAACCATGATGTTTTACTAAACCTAACCAAACCATGATGTTTTGCTAAACCTAACCAAACCATGATGTTTTGCTAAACCTAACCAAACCATGATGTTTTACTAAACCTAACCAAACCATGATGTTTTACTAAACCTAACCAAACCATGATGTTTTGCTAAACCTAACCAAACCATGATGTTTTACTAAACCTAACCAAACCATGATGTTTTGCTAAACCTAACCAAACCATGATGTTTTACTAAACCTAACCAAACCATGATGTTTTACTAAACCTAACCAAACCATGATGTTTTGCTAAACTTACCCAAACCATGATGTTTTGCTAAACCTAACCAAACCATGATGTTTTACTAAACCTAACCAAACCATGATGTTTTACTAAACCTAACCAAACCATGATGTTTTGCTAAACTTACCCAAACCATGATGTTTTACTAAACCTAACCAAACCATGATGTTTTGCTAAACCTACCCAAACCATGATGTTTTACTAAACCTAACCAAACCATGATGTTTTACTAAACCTAACCAAACCATGATGTTTTGCTAAACTTACCCAAACCATGATGTTTTACTAAACCTAACCAAACCATGATGTTTTACTAAACCTACCCAAACCATGATGTTTTACTAAACCTAACCAAACCATGATGTTTTACTAAACCTAACCAAACCATGATGTTTTGCTAAACTTACCCAAACCATGATGTTTTGCTACACCTAACTATTTCCGTAAACCGCTAACCTTTTAGTAAACCTAACCAAACTGTATATATACACCATGGTAAAAAGGTGTATATATGTTGTAATAATAATTTGATCACTGGAGTCCACATGTACCGACGCTGAAAGGAGCCTTATGTGTAAAATACTGAGGTTTTGTCAGGCTGTCTCAAAGTGTGGGTATTTGAGGCCCTGAGATGAAAACACATTGACTGGTCAGGGTGGATGTGGTTTTGACACTAAGGACCGTTTGAAGGAAGTTTGTCACATCTTAGAAAATAACCCCACTTATGACACGGTGATCTCAGCTTGGTTTGGAAATAATAGAAATTTAACACAAAGCCTGGATTACAAACTAAAAGGTATGGAGTTTGAACAATGTGTTTAACAGGCAAAATATGCTTGAATATTGCATCATGGGAAACGTAGGACCCAGTGTTTTTGATGCTTAATCCACAGGGACTACAAATCAGGATCTCTCGACCTCTGTTGGTTCAATTTTGACAATTCTTTTCACAACATTTTTTTGCTAGAACTCCAAATGTATGGTAGTGCAACAGTAAATCTCTGGAATAAAGACGTGAGGAGTCTTTAAACCATGTCCGTGCGTTAAAAAATGTGAGCTCTCCAGGTTTGTCTGCTTTGTGCCATATAGCTGAAGTTTTTGTGGGGGAGTTTTTCCTTGTCTTCTTAGCTATTTTGCAGCTGTTTTGGCAACTGCTGCTACTGCTGTAAAGGCCTGTAAAGTCCAATGAGTGGGATTCTTAACTGTTTGAAGAAACTGAAGAAGGAGAAAGTGAAAAATGTGATTTGCTGTTTCAATACTGAATTGAACTGAATCTAGATCTCTGTTTTGGTTGGACTGGCTGGATCTGAATGATCCTTGTGCCCAAACTATTCCAGCATCAACAACAGCTGTCTCCCATTTTTTTTTAACCTAAGAACACTGCACTAAATGAGAACATTGTTCAACTCACAGTAAAACCAGACTACTAGGAGGTCTTCCCACCGGACCTTTCCAACCGGTTTCCCACTACTCAAGTCCCTCATTGCGCAACACTATCACACATCTTGAACAGCTGTGCAAAGGATTGTACTTCATGACAGAATAAAAAAGCACATATCTCCTCAGTGGGAATGTACAAACATTCCCGTGTTAAATCTTCTATGCTCCTTCTCTGTAATAGTAAACTAGGTATTTTACACATTTTTACATTAGTCTTCAAGGCAACTTTATTTATAGACAGCTTTTCATACACATGCATACATTACATAAAATATGATACAATAAAAAGAGGAACAAATTAAGTTAAATTAAAAAATAAGGCAAAAATTGGACAACTAAAGCTGCACAGATGACGAAGCAACTCAGTGTTCATAAACCCTACAAAACAAGAAGGTTTTGAGGGTGGATTTGCCACTTTTGGGGCACATTTTAGAGATTTTGGAAGTTTGTTCCAGGTGTAGGAAGAAATCCTTGTTTTGTCTTAGGTCTATAAATAGTTAGTACTCCCTTTTGGGACAGCGTAAGGGTTCTTGATAGTAATTTGGCCCCAAGCCATTTAGAGTTTAATAGACCAATAAAATAAGTTGGTGTGATATGGTCCTATGTTTTAGTTTTTTTTAGAGTAGCCTATACTCTAAACCAAAATGGTGCTAAATAGCACTAACAGTGGTTCATTGGTTTGTAATCATAGGGGAACCAGTTTCCATGCTAAATATACCTGTCAAATGGTGTGAAGAACTTTTTGGTACTATAGTATATATATATACACACACACTAATACTACTATACTACAAAGACCGTTACAGTAGTCTAGTCTGCTAAATGTTGTATTGTTCAATAAAGAGTCCAAGTCAGTGTTTGTTTTAGAGGTGGACTGCACCTTTGACTTTAGTTCAGAGGAAGCATTTATGACCAAGGTTAGTAAATGCCAACCACTCCTAAATACCGTCTCAGAGCTGGGTGATAGGTGCAGTTGATTTGTTTTTACATTTAGCAGCTTAGTACTGACAGGTTGGTTGTAAGACAGTGGTGAAAAGTTTGAATTTATGGTGGAAATGTTTTTATTTATGTAAAAGGTAACACAAAATTCAGGTGGCAGGTGACATTTCAAAATATTTAAATAAAACAGAATCAGCGCAGCTCTCAGTCATTCTGTGCTGCTTTCAGATCTGTTTCTCCTGCGAATCAACTTTTCTCCTGTAATATCATCCCTGCTGAGGCAACACATACTGTATGTAGGCATGATTTAGTCTTCCCTCCTCTTTTATCATGTTCACAGGGAGAGAACGGAAAACTTGACCCAAGAGAAACTGTGTGAAGAAGCTGTTAAAGTTATTGACTGGTGCTGCACGTTTTATAGTCAGTAGCTTGTTTTTTTTTTAGCTTAAGTTACTTTTTTTTGAACAAAGCCCATTTGTTTCTTCTATATTTTAATTGCACAGCATGCTTTCCTAATGTGCAAATACACCTTTTGAAAGGCATTTTCATTTGGTATTTAACCGCATGCTATATTTCAGAACGCTTTTTTAACAAATTTTCTTTAAAAAAGTGATGGGTGTTATGGGGTTGTGTGGTGTGGGGACAGAGAGGACCCAAAAGCAGCACTCTGAGGGAAGGAGGTTTATTGACGGATAAAGGGGTAGAGGGACTGGAGTGGAGGGAGAGGTGGATGTTGGGGAAACACAGGCACGGGGAACCAGGAAGACTGGGGGCCAGGGAGCCGGGAACACTGGGGCCGAGGAAGCGAGGAGCGGTGGGGGAACAGAGAAACATGAAAAGCCCGAACACAGAGGTGGCACCGGGTAAGGAGCATGAGGTGATTACTGGCAGGTGTGGCAGGCTGATGAGGTGGCTGATGGGATGCAGGTGCAGGTAGTTGGCTGGGCTCAGGAGCAGGGGGAGAGAGAGCACACAGGGGAGAAAACACAGGGAGGCAGGCAGAGAACAGAAAACCAAGGAAAAAGCAGAAAAACTTATAAAAAGGAGAAAAAAACAGGACACTCACCGTCAGCCGGGCTGCCACCACAACAATGGGGACACAATTAGCCAGTATGTCAGCATTTACCTCCCATCTGATAAACACTGTGCAGTAATCTTATATTTTCCTGCATGTGTGAGGAGGAGGAGGAGGAGGAGGAGCCTGAAGCCTCCTCCTTTATTACTACTACTACTACTACACACACACACACCCTTTTTCTCTCAACGCTGCTCGCTCACTTGCAGGACAGCAGCGGATGGACGATCAGCTGCACAGAAAGCAAGCTGCTGCCGCTTCTCTTTGTTCTGTTTACTTTGATCGTCGTTACTCTTGAATTGCTGTTTTTCACTTCCTGTCAAAAGAAGTCTGAGTTTCTGATCTTCGCAGTGACACTCTAGTGAAACAACATGAGCACTAACCTAATGGCTTCCTTGCAGTCCAGGATTCAGATGGCAAAGGAAGTCAATGACGAGGACAAGTTGTACAGATACAACGGGGTGCTGTACCCGTGCCTCATGTGCCCTGAGGATAATTTAAAGGCTCTGGAGAACCTCAAGGCCAGAGAGGATGACATCATGCTGGTGGCGTATCCCAAATGTGGTGAGTTACTGTCATCCAGTTACAACACGTCTTAATGAACAGCTGTGGTTCAGCCAGAGAGTAACAACCACCAGATGAAACAACATTTGTATAAATAATTAAGTTTTTATAAGGTCACAGGAACATTTGGTCCCACTGTTGTGACCTCTGGCCTTTGACCACTGGTTGCTTGTAATGTTAATGATTAAAACACTGGTGAAAGTGAATCTGTAAAGCAAATTTTATCAAAAAATGCTTAAAATGTAAAAGTTTAAGATCTTCTTCTAGTATTTTCTAGCTGTATACAGCATTAGGAATTATCTGATAATCTGAGTAAAATATGGACTCATTTATGAATCTCCTGGTTCTGCAAAACAGAAACAAACAAAGATTTATATTCTTTATTTCCTCTGCAGTCTTTCCCACATAGTGAATGTCGGTCCGCTGTTGAAGGAAATATCTGACTGAGGTCATGACTGGTATGCAAATGTAGGGAACTAAACAACCGGAGAAACTGGATTCGCCCCTTTTTTTGTTTTGTCAAGAACAGCGGGTAACACTGATTTCTGCGGCTGTGTACGGATTTAAAAAAATAAGATACAACATATGAATGAGCGAGTTCTAGAGGAGCAGGTGGTGTATTTTTAAACTTTGAACAAATGCTGAGCCAAGCTAACCCTAACTCCAGCTCTGTACTGAACACAGGTATGATTGAAATCTCACTCTCAAAATGAAAACTTCCTATAATGTTGAACTATTCCTTTAATAAATCATCATCCGGTTGAGGAACTTCGGGTTTGGAAAGCCAACACTAATAAGCACATGTGCAGGACAAACACATTAATTATTTAACAAATATTTCCTTAAATGAAACATAATGTAATGTGCTAAACGAAGCATCTCTCATTTTTCATGTTACACTGTACAGACTGTAATTACAGACAGAAGGAAACTTCCTTTGCGTTTGCACCTAATTTCCACTCAGATGGCTGCTGAGCTGTTGCACATACCACAATCAGCGCTCCCCACAAACATCTGCACAGTCACAGGGGAAAAAGAAAACGAGGAGATTGGTAGATGCAAGACAAAAGGCAGAGTTCATACCAAGCAAGATTTTGAAACCACATCGTGACAATGCAGATTTTGCTCTGACCCCGTTCCAACTTAGCTTAACTTCCTTCCCTCCCATAGACTGCATTTGTAAGAATTGGTCATAGCCTCTGGGTCTGAAAAGTGAAGTTAATTAAAACTGCATTCTCTCAACCAGCCAGCAGGGGGCGACTCCCCTGGCTGTAAAAGAAGTGTGATTGTTTAGACGTCCATGAGAAAGTGAGGCTAATTCACAGCTGAGTTTATGGTCTCAGTCGCTAGTTTCAAGTCTTCTTCAACACAGCGTGATGTTCATTTAGTAAATTATGGTCCCATTTAGAGGAACAGAGACCAGGATGCAGGGGAGGCTTTAGGGGCGTAGCAATCCACTTATGGGTTGCGTTTTGAAAAGCATATGTTGGACAGCGAATTGATGTTCCTACACTTTGGCTTTTGTTGAGATTGAAGAAACACATTAGGATTTTGTTACGTTTGAATTGATGTATGTAGCTAACATAGCTAACGTTAGAAACGATGTAGCATGCTAACTTACATAACGTAACATAAATAAAAAACAAAAAAATTTTTGTTTCACATGGGAACCGAACGCCGGTCTCCTGGGTCAGGGGCCAACTTACTATCCACCCGACCCCCCTCCACCACCATAGTGTTGGACTTTCATGGCTATTCTATGATTATATCTCACACTCGCTGATTTTAACTGGGACAGTAGATGTAAAATGATACGCCGTTTCTGCACAATAAAAGTAAAGGCAGTCTAAATGTCTTGAAATGCCAAATGACTTAAGAAATCGCCGTTTTGATGATACCACGCTGCATATTTGCATATTTTGTGGGAGGAGCCCCAGACCCCCCCACTCAGTAAATATCCCCTCCGGTGTTCTTTTCATCTAACTCACAGCAAGTAAAGTGTGTTACCCAAAAAACTGTCTAACTTTTCCTTTAATGAGCAGTTGCCTTTATGAGAGTTTGTAAAAGGTCGGTACTGAATGTAATCCGATGTTCTGCACAATAAGTTCTTTCTCTGGTGATGAGGAAAGAATTACACAAGAACCATAAAGTGAGCAGCAGAAAATAAAAAAACAAAATGATATAAAAAGAACATTTTTATTGTACCTTGTATCACGTTGCGATGGTTCTGGGTACTGGCGTGCATACATTATGGCTCAAACCCGAGTGAATGATTTATTGATATCTAAAAGGCCCTTTCTTTTGAAAACACAAAGCGCTCACAGTGTTGGGTTTTTACTGGAAGAAAAAAGAGACATTCCCGCTGTCACCATGGTGCGTTTGAGGAATGCGACATGTTTTCTTTTTGGGGAAGTGTTGACTTTCAAAAGGCTTTTTTTTTTTTTTGCCCACCAGCTCACTGATGGAGAAATGACACGAAGACAGATGAGTTAATCGCCTTTGGAGGAATGATTACACGCAACCATCCCACATCTCAATGCACAGGGGCCCCTTTTGGACTGGGGCCCGTATTGGGGATAAAAGAGCTATTTATCTATGGGGGTGTGACTATACAGTACATGTCCACCGTCAGACCAACCAATGGGAGCCTCTATTTAAACGTCTGGACGTCCTCTATTGATGTGACAGGCAGCTGAATATGTTACACAGCAGACAGATAATGGCTTCCTGATGTCTCGGTGATACATGGACGAGGTAGAGGAGGATTAGCCCGACCTTCAACTCAACGAGCTCATATTTACGATCTGCTGCCGGTGATATATTTTCCCTGTCACTGGTGTCTGTGTGTGTTGCACTTTACATCTCTAGTCTAAAACTAGATCACAAATCAATTCTCACTCACTCCAGGAAGTAGCCAGGTGTCATTTTAAAGGGAGCTCCAACTGGATTACACAGATTAATTACATAGCGCCATCTTAAACCTCTTCATCTTTCTTCTTTTTTTTTTTAAACAATTTGATCGCCAAATTCTATTATTCTGCAATGTAAAAAGAAAACACACGTTTACTGTTTTATTTATTTTATTTTAATTTTTGATATATTATTGTATTTTTCAACACACACTTTTACTGTTTTATTTTTAATATTTTTTATTTTTATATTATATTTATTTATTTTTTAACACACAAACACACACTTTTACTGTTTTATTTACTTTATGTAATGAAATTAATTGGTCTTTTGTAATTTATTTGTAGCTTTGACAGTACTGTTTACATTCATGCCAATGAACCTGCATTGAATTGACTGAGGTTTGAATCCCGTGTGACAGAAAGTCAAAGGTGACATGTTTTGTAGATGACTTACATAATGTACTCATTTTGTACCCAAACCACGATCTTTTCCTAAATCTAACCAAACTGTTTCACAACATTTACCGCATGTTAAACGTCACGGGTCACGTGACTTGCGTTAACGTACTGAAGGTCAGGAACACCCGTCGCTGCACTGGTATTCCTTGTACATGTCGTTTTGGGGAAAGATTATATTTGTCTTACTTTCCAACCAGCCTGTTCTCATTCCCAGGGCGTCAAATAGCTCTGCTTTGTCACGTCTTTCGCCGTTGTACCAACGCACATGGGACCCTTTAGTGCCATTGTTCAACACTAAAAGTATTACTATAAATACCAGAAATGTTGGCTTTATTCTCATTTTTAAGGAGGTGGTGGGGTGGATAGGTGAGTCAAGTAGGCTCAGGACTTTAACTCAGGAGGCCGAGGTTAGAGTCACGTGGGGGGGGGGAAGCCAAAGTCGACATTTTTCTTAAACCTAACAAAGTAGTTTTGTTGCCTAAACCTAACTTAACTACAACTGTTTCACAGCGTTTACCACGTGTTAAACGTCATGTGACTTAGGTAACTAGATGCTGGACTGGTACTTGCCAACACTCGTACATGTCGTTTTGAGGAAAGGTCAAATATGTTGTTGCTCTCATGGCAGAAATGGGTTTTGGCTGTCTGTACAGTAAAAAAAGAGTTGAGTGGTCCTCCTACTGTAAGTTTGCATTTAAAGAAACATCAAAAATGAGAATCACACAAGTACTGTTAAATAGATGCTCGTTATTGAAGATTCATAATTAGTCAACGCAAACAGTCAACCTGTCAGGTCATAAACACCTTTAAATTACCCCAACGGATGTTTCCCCACCTGTGATCCAGAGTTATTATTCAACTGCAGGGCCTGTCAGGGAAACAGGAATGTCCTCACAGCGTAGTAACAGGCTGGCTCGCTGCCAAACTGAAAGAAGAGATGTGAAACAGATGAAAGAAATGACCTGCAGCAGCTGCATAATCCAAAATGTGCACAGTATAAAGGCATCACTGTCCCTGTACGCTACGTTCTGTTGTTTTAAAATAAACTGAAGCAGCAAGGATTCCCCTCCTGCGAAGTTAAAATGTTTTTACAAACATACATTCACAGTCTGCTGTTACTGTGAGTGGAATATTCATGTTATTCTTACTGGCTGCATCAGGAATAACAGTGTTTTGCATCGTCCTTTTCACTTTTCCCTGTCAGAATAAGGGACGTTTCTGAGCTGACAGAACAAAACTCTACTCCATGTCTGAAACACAACGTGTGCATCTGTGTGCAGGTTTTAACTGGATGGTCGGGGTGTTGAAGAAGATCATTGCAGAGGCCACAGGGGTAAACACGGAGTACAAGGGGCCGCCGCTGATCGAGTTTCTTGGACCAGAAGCCTTAAAGGTGGACACCAGATATGTGTGTGTGTGTGTGTGTGTGTTAGGAAAGCAGGCAGAAAGGGTTAAGGTGGCCGGCTAAGGCGTGCCGATACATACAAGTCTGGCTGTGTTTCGTTGAGCTGTAACAGATTAAAGTTTCACTATAATCAACATTTTTACCGTTAAATCTCTCAAATAATTACGTGTAAGCTGAAAACAGTCATTCATAGTTATGTACTCTGCAGCTCTCTGAAGCTTTTCAGCCTCTTTCAACTTTTTTGATGGCCTCTGCCTCCGTCCCTAGAGCTGCTCACAGGAATTCAAAAACTATCTCAAGAATTCAACAGGATGTCTCTCTTTGAAGCAATGACCTGGTTATTCTAGATAATCTACAGAACAACAATTTGAAAGATATAATAATGGAGACTTTAGGCAATAATTGAATATCTTTTCAAATCTGAATAATGGGATAAGACTTTTTTCATGTTGACAGACTGAAAATTAAATTTTTATGCTTTTATGTTCATTTTTAATGGTATTTAGCCTGGACCAACATACCGCAGCATTCTAGCCTAAGCTAGTTTATAATGCTCGTCCCAGATGGGCCTTTATTCAAATACGCAAAGCTCTACGAGAAAATACAACAATTTAATTTATCAAATCTGCAAGATTGCAAAGACCCTAAAGAATAAGACCTTCTTCAGCTACACCATTTTTGACAGTGCTGACTTTGGGCTTTGTACAATGACACATTGTGGTCTGTGAAATTAAAGAGTGAATCGATTGAGGAGCTGTGCACATATTTTATTACACACATCAGCCAGAGACACTAATGACGCCCCGGGAGGCAGGAAGATTGATTTCTGACATGTTTCTCCTCGTTGACCCTTCAGAAACACGCTACAGGGACACGGGAAAGCACTCCGGTCTGTGGGTTGTGTCTAGACAAATTGCATGTTAGAGCGAGACGAGATGTTATTTCAGATATCTTCCCTGTGAGAGTCAACCCCACTGAGCAGTTTCACATTTTGTCAGCAGGCTAACCATCTGTGATTGGTTACTCCGCTACCAGGTGTCATTTGAAAAGGATTATTCCTGAATACTTTACATCCTGTTTATACAACGCTTAAACATTCCCTTCTGCCGGTTTTAAGTGGGAGTTTTATTTTCTGTTCTGTGTTTTGTCATTGTTGTGACCGTGTATAGTTTTGTCTTTTTAAAGCCCAATTTTCAAATCTAGTGCACTAAAACTTGATCCATGACTAGAAGCAAACAGTCTGGGGCAAAGACGCTTGACATTTGAGATGAAGCAGACATTACAATCACAAAACTGTTTATTGTCTACAGAATAATTATTATATGCAACAATATTCTAAATAGTTTTGACTGCCTTTTTTGGATGCCACCACTTCATACATTTGAGTGTGTCTCCTCCTTCCTCTTCTGCCCCTGGAAGGACTCAAAAGTCCCTGGTACGTACTCTTTTCAAGGAATTAAAACGTTCCTTCCACCGCGGTCTAAAGAACTGCGAAGATTAAGCAAATTAACCAGCTGACGTCAGGCATCATTTTTTGTAACCACCATCCATGAGTAAAATTTATTAGATTTGACTGGAATATAATGAAAAACTATAAATAGAACATAGATAAATAGACCAAACCTCACTGAGTAAGCTGATGTTTTGGATGTAGATCTGCTGAAGCTCAAAAGTCAAACAAAGTTCATCAGATAATGTGGCAGTCTTGAGTCTGTGAGGGTGTTTCTGCAGTATCATAAAGATCATAAAAACACATTCTTACGTCCCGTTTGAATAACAAAAGATACACTAAATAACTGAATTAAACTAAAATGCAGATGTTCTTCTAGGAAACCTCGCTGTGTTCTTCTAGGAAACCTCGCTGAAACACACTGCTGGGCCTCTTCCAACGCTTTAATCACGAACACATGGTTTGGTGTGTTTGTGTGAGAATAGCTTTCTGTGGTCTGTCATGCGTTGAACTCTGAAATGTTGAAATCCTTAGAAAGCATTAGGCAGTGAACAGAAGCTGGAGTAGGAGTAGTTCCACCTTTTGGAAAATATAAATATGCACTTTCATGGTGAGAGTTAGAGTAGATTTATACCACTCTAAATTTGAAGCTAGGTAGCTGCTTAGCTTAGCATAAAGACTGAAAGAGTCCGTCCAAAGGTAACTTTAACCCTCGCTAATTAAACACGTTGCATCTTGTTTGTTTAGCCTGCACATGCCTTTAAGTTTAATTAAATGTTGTGGTTTTATCTCTATTTCCTTAACTTTTTCTTCTACAAAATTAAAAAAATTAATTTAAGTTTTTGCTTAATTTGGTGAAAACGCTGGTATGAAGTTTGATAAGAAAAATCTCATTCTGGTGGCATTATGTGGCAGCTAATGCTAAACTGCAGCACTTTAATTTACCTTCCCTGTCTTCCCAACACACAGGCCAAGGAGGAGACTCCCTCTCCGAGGTTTCTGGGGACTCACATGCACCCTGACAACATCCCCGCTTCCTTCTATGCAAAGAAAACTAAAGTAAGTTTCCACAACAAATGGATTCTGCTCATCGACTCTCACACGCCTCCAACAGTACTGTATACTCTAACAAAGTCAATGTAGGATAAATATTTTGCACAGGCCTGCTCCAACTTTAATTTACATATCCTTTATTATTTTTAATCTTTTCATATCTTATTGTCAATTTAACATTAATAGTTTGAGTTTAAATAAATGGAACTGTCAGGACCGGGAGCCAGAACTCAGACGCAGACCAGAGTGTAGTTCAAATAAAGGTGAACTTATTCAAAACAAGTACAAACAGAGGTGTGGGCTGGGCGGTTAGTGTTCCAGTTGGTCAGAGGGTTCTGGTCCGGGTTCCAGTCCTCTGGGTCTTGTGATGCTGGTGAGTAATCCGAGTCCAGGGTCCAGGCTAGTACTCTGCGGTCAAGACAGGGTATCTCAAAAAACAGACAAGATTCAGAAAGTTCAGGACTGGGTTGGCTGGCGTGTGCTCATACTGACTGGCACAACGATCCAGCGGGGACTGGAAGGTTGCTCTGGCTTTTATGTATGAAGATCATCATCACCCAGGTGAGTAGACAGGCGCACAGGCGACCACACCCACCAGCAGCCTCAGAGCATGCGGGAGAAATCAGAACACAGACAGAAGCAAAACCAAAACCCACCAAGCACACAGCAGACATACCAAAAAGGGCAAAGAACTCAATAAACTATATTCACACGCATACTAAAAAGAAGGTCAGGGTCACGACGAGGGGGTCGTGACAGTAAATGGGAATAACACTAAAAAATAAGTCCTCTTTGTAATAAAATCAGAGCCATTTACATGAATTGCTCTGTCTCCTTTATGTTTGAAAAGCAGTTTTTTAGCATTTTTTTTTTAAATTTTATTTTGTTGATTTTATTCTGTCTTATGTTTATTACATGCATTCTGTATTTTACGGCTTTTTTTTTTTTTTTTTTATCATGCTCCTTTATTTTATAGATGCTGGTGATCTTCAGGAACCCTAAAGACACCCTGGTCTCCTTCTACCACTTCTCCAACAACAACCCTGTCCTCCCAGCACAGTCCTGGGAATCCTTCTTCTCCGACTTCCTGAGTGGAAACGGTGAGAAAACACACTTGCCGCCTTCACGAGCAAAAGACATGAAGCATGTAATAGTCGGTGCTTATTTTGTGATCCAGTCTATTTGTTATTAATTGGATCTCATATGATGATGAGATATTCTCGCACAAATAATGCAAACGAGGTAACCAGGAACACGAGGAACAGGACCAAATACAACTTGAGGTAGAGCTGGTGCAATGTAACAATGATTTAATGGTAAAGCCCCCAAAAAGCTTTACAGGATCAAAATCCAAAGATGGTGAAGTGAAAGTCCAAAAACCGTGGGAGAGCAAAGACTAAGGAAAAGTCTGAAACACATGGGAAAAGACAACTGGCCTTGAGATAAGGAGAGAAAAGGAGGATATGAGATTTGGTGGAATGTTAAGCCTGAGTAACAAATGCTATTTATGTTAATATTAGGTGTTTCTTTACATTTTGTCACTATTATCTGACTTAATTGTTGGTCAGTGTGTGCATTTTGATGCAGATTAAAATGTATGAACATCATCCTTAATTACAACAACCTTGTGCAGGTATGAGCTGTGTGAGTGCATGCTTTCTAGTTTTTT